TCACTTTTCACTCACTTTTTATTCACTTTTTACTCACTTTTCATTTACTTTTTACTAATTTTTCACTCACTTTTCACTCACTTTTCACCCACTTTTCACTCACTTTTCACTCACATTTTCTTATCTCTAAAAGTAATTTTTAAATTTTTCCTTTAATAAAAATTTAAATTTATCACTTATAATAATACTTATAATAGTATTAAAAAAACAAAAACTCTCATAAGCCACACTAAACAAGTCCTTAATAAACAAATATTTTTTTTTTCTAAAGAGTAATTTAATATCCTCGTTTTTTATTTTTTTCAGGAACTTTCAAACTTCAAGTTGAGAAAGGTCTAACTTACCTGCTTCGGATAATCAACGCCGGTATGCAAGACATGCTCTTCTTCTCCATTGCTAACCATAATGTCACTGTCGTCGCATCCGACGCCAGTTACGTAAAACCATTCTCATCAAGCTACCTCACAATATCCCCTGGCCAAACAATAGATGTCCTTCTAAACGCCAACCAAAGTCCCAATCACTATTACATGGCTGCTAGAGTTTATACTGGCTTGACGTCTGTTTCTTTCGACAACACTACCACCACAGCTATAGTAGAATACAGTGGAAACTACACCCCATCTTCGCCACCGCTATTCCCTTATCTTCCTTACTACAATGACACACAAGCATCCGTTCATTTCACGGGTAGCCTCCGAAGCTTAGCCGATGAGGACCATCCAATTGATGTCCCAAAAGAAATAAACTCAAGCATGTTCTATACATTTTCAGTGAACGCATTCCTATGCCCAAATAACTCTTGCGCTGGACCAAATGGGACGAGACTGGCAGCTAGCATCAACAACCTGACCTTTGTCAATCCTACCATTGATATATTGCAAGCCTATTATTACCACATCAATGGGGTGTTTGAGACTGGGTTTCCCGACATACCACCATTGTTTTTCAATTTTACGGCAGAATATTTACCATTGTACCTCGAGGCGTCAAAACGGGCTACAAAGGTGAAGGTACTTGACTACAACTCCACAGTAGAGATTGTTTTTCAAGGTACCAATGTGGTAGCGGGTAGCGACCATCCAATACATCTCCATGGATTCAGTTTCTATGTTGTTGGATGGGGCTTGGGGAATTTTGATAAGGACAAGGATCCCTTGAAGTATAATCTGGTTGACCCTCCTTTACAAAACACTATTGCAATCCCAGTAAATGGTTGGACCACTATAAGATTCAAGGCTAATAACCCCGGTATGTGCTCCAATAAATTTTTCTTTAATCAAGATAATTTAGTTATTATACTGATTAAATTCATTAATTAACTAATTAAATTCTTTCTCCTTGCATCACACAATATTTATCTCTTTTTTTTTTTGAATTAATTTTTTTTAATTCATAGTTGTTTTTACATTTTCAGAGTCTACCATTTTTTTTTTTTAATATAACTCTTAACCATATAAGCCTTACATTTTATAATTCTTCTCATCAACTATATATATAGTTAGCTGGTTTAAACAGCTGTATCGACCACGCAGAGGCAGGTGTGGCAACCACCTGCTCCTTCAACGTGCGTGATGAAGAAATTAACTTGCACTTGGTATATATGGAACATTATTTTAATTAACCGAGCA